GCTGGCTCTGTGCCCTGCCCTGGGGACACCCAGCCGCTGTTTCCTGTGCTTTTGCTGAGCACTGGTCCTTCCAGTTGTGCTCTGGGCACAGTGGACACAGAGGCGGACGGCCCACAAATGCACCCACCAAGTGCCAAGGGCAGGACAGGCCACGGGGGCTGGAACAGGCCTAGCAGGTTCCCTGACTGGCAGGGATGCAGAGTTCTCTCCCGCTCAGGAGCTCAGACTAATGAGGGGAGACACGAGTGAAGGGCGTGACAGATGAAAGCCGAGGTCCTAGTGGACACAGGCCAAAATGATGCTATTGGAATGCAGAGGGAAGAGCAGAGGCAGGGGGACCGGGACGCACCGCCCCCCCAGGAGGTGCCCTTGGAGTTGGGCTTTGCTGGATGAGGAGGAGTTTGCTGGGCGACTGGGGTGGGGAGCCACGTGGATGGACTGTGGGTATGTGAGGATAGTGACCCCCAGGTCTTCTTCCTGTGGCGGTAGCCATTTCTGCAGGGAACGAACACTTTCTGAGGGACTTTACTCCCCTCCCCTCCCCTCCCCTCTCCTCCTCTTCTCCACCTCTACGTTTCCCTGAGCCATAGAGAGGACACGTGGACCTCAGGAGCAGGGCTCCGGATGGGGATGGGGTTCTGGGCCTGCTCCGTCTGCGTCCCTCCCTCCCTCCCGCCACCCTCCCTTTGTTTTATTTTGTTAAGCTCTGGGGAGCCTCGGGGACTTTCAGCTGCTGGGGTGAGCCCAGAAGTCAGCGGGGTTTTCCGTTGGATTTCTCAACCACAGGCCACTGGCCTGGGGCCCATCCGGCCAGTGAAACTGGTGATGAAACAGGGTGCCAGGAAGCCCTCCGGAAGCGGCCCCGGCCCCGGGTCAGCCGGCGGGGCTCAGCCCCGGCACGCCCGTGGGTGCCTGCCAGCTCCTCGGTGTTCTAGCTTCTTCCTTCCCCAGACCTCACTCAGGGGCCCTGCCTCCATACCCTCCCAAGAGGGGAGGGATGTCCCCTTCCCTAGCCAGGGTCAGACCCCGGTCCTCATAGCAGCTGGTCTCTGGCAAAGCCACTGAAATAGAAACCTGTGGACTCACGTAACTGAGAGGTGAACACCATTATCTTTCACTGAAGGGGCCAAGCAGGGAAGGAGGCAAAGGTTCCCCTCTCCCAGCTGGGTTACTGGTAGCGCTGCCTGAAAATGGGGAGCTAATGAGCTTGACGAGTCCCTTGTCCATGGGCCACAGGTCTGTAGTGTCCCAGGGATCACCCCGGTCCAAGCAGCAGCTGGAAATGCAGTGCCACATACATGCATGAGTTTAACTTTTCTAATAGCCACATTAAAAAAAGTAAAAAGAAGCTGATGAGATTAATGTTACCAAATGATTCATTGAACCCTGCTGTATCTCAAATGGTATCGTTTTTCATTTCACATGTAATCAGGATAGAAAAATTATTCATAGGAAATTTCACATTATTTTTTCCCAAAAAAAGCCATCAAAATCCAGTGTGCATTTTACTCTTAGAGCATGTGTATGAACTCAGGTAGTTACTGTGTGGGACAAATCTAGCTCATAGATGGAGAAACTGAGGCAGCTGCCCGGAAGCTGGGAGGCCTGCCCTGCTGCATGCGGCCTCCGGCCTGAGCCTCCCCAGGGCCCCCCGCTCCTGCATGGGCCCAGGACCCAACCAGCCCCTCCCGGGAGCAGCTGTGCCAGAAGCCAAGGCTTCAGGCCGCTTGCCTCTCACCTGCTTACCTGCCTCTCCCAAGACAGGGCTCCACCCCAGAGGAGAGCTTGTCCATGGGGACACTTCTGTTGGAAACCGGGGGGTGGCTTTGTCCTGCAGAAAAGCCTGGTTTTTGGCAGCTGTCTCTGTAGCCAGCCAGTTGTCGGTGACGGTAGCTCACTGGCTTGACTAACAGCAGAGGGGTCGTGCACATGCAGCATCCCACCGTCCAACTGCCCTGGTCCCGAGAGGTTGCATTCTCCGGGCCAAGAGCCCCCAGGAGAGAGCGAAAATGGGGTGCCCCCTTTAACTAGTTGAGCCGAGCCCTCGGCAAGTGCTTGCAGGCCGGCCTGGTATGTGACTGGGCTGTGACTGGGGCTGCGTTGGGCATTCACGGGCTCCACTGCATGCTCTGGAAGTCCCAGGGGAAGGCAGCTTGTGAACTGTCCTGGCCAACAAGTTCAATGCCCAGGGAGCAGCCGTGAGCACCTGCTGGGAGCCCCTGCTGGGAGCCCTTTGGTGGCTTCCTCGCTGCCCAAAGACCTGGCCCCGAAAAGGCCCAGGAAGGCTGCAGCCCGCCTGCCGCAAACAAGCATGTGTCCCAGAATGGCCTCAGTGCCGCCTCAGAGACAGAGGCGACCTGGTCTCCTCCCAGCCTGCCCATGTACAACTGCTACCTCCCCAGGGCCTGGAACTGGCCAGGGCTCCCTAGAGGTGGCCAGCAGGGACTCAGACCTCCAGGGTCTTTTCAAGTCCTCATCTTTCAGTTCTGACTCCACTTGCCGGCTTCCTGGGCAAACTGCCTCAGCCCCGTGAGAATGAATGATTCCTCCTGGGAGCACCTGCCCCCTCGTGTCACTTTCTGCCCCCTCAGCAGCCCAGGACCGTGAGAGCCAGGGCCTGCATCCTCAGGCATGCAGAGGCTGTGGGCAGGAACCAGCCAGCACGGGGCCCCAAGGACAGGCCGGGGCGAGGACGGCCGGCACTCCAAGGCTCGGGCTCTTGGGGAGCAGAGCACCAGCAGGTGGACTCGCATGCACAAGCATTTTCACACAGAAAAGTGACGCAGGACACAGTGCAGGGTGGCGGGGGAGGAGGCACATGGGATTTCCAGTGTGTTTCCAGATGCTTCCAGGGAATGCTGTGCCTTCCCAGACTCCACCATCTTTAGCTTAGTTGGGTCACCCTCATGATGACAGGTTCCCCAACCTCAAATAGGGACAGGGGTCTTCGCCTGGGGCCTCCAGTCCCAGGGAGCTGGGCTATAAGACCGGGATGGGGCCTGAGGGAGGGCAGTGTCCAGCTCACGTGCACTGCTGTGCAGCCGACCTCCAGAGGAGCCCCTCCATGTAAACTCCCTTTGTGCCCTTGGGGAATTCTGCCTGTCCTTGCCCCCGGCTTTGGAGTGTCCCCTGGTACTCCAGGTCAGCTCTGACTCCTTGCCGTTGTCTTGAACTTTCTATGGTAGAATTAACGTCCCCGGCTTGAAAAAACGGCTGTGGTTCGTTTGGCTAACTGGGTGTGGTCAAGGTACCCAAGGGGCGGAGGGGGCCCCAGGTCAGAGCTGTGGGGTGTCCATGTGGGGGGCTAGAAAGTCAGCGATAGTCCTGGGCCTTCTTTCCCAAAAACGTGGTCTCCCGTCGGCCAGGATTGTACTAAGTCCCATTCAAGACAATGGCCAGAAAACACTTTTCCACCCATCAGTTCTTGACAGTTTTTCTCCAACATAAAATTGATCTCGTTTCCCAGACTCCTCACTCCGTCTCTCCCAACCTTTCTCTGTGACGACCTGCCCTGCCCACCCCGCAGGGGCCAGGGTTGGTGCTTGAGCCCTGTGGTCAAGCCCGAGGTAGACCAGTGTCCACATCCCAGCTCCCTGAGTTGTGAGGCCCTGGGCAGATTCCCTGACACCCTGGGCCTCAGTGTCACCGTATGTCACACGACTTCCCAGGCCTAGCACGGCACAAGCACCTGGTGAGCGGCGGCTGCAGCTTGTGTTGCTGCCATTAATGTATCTGCTGCAGAGATGGGCCGTGTGAGTGACCCACCAGTGCTCTCGGGCTGCTCCAGGCTCTGAAGCAGGACCTTGCCCCACGCCTCTGTCTCCCTGAAACAGCCACGATGGCTGTGGATGCATTCACGTTCAACATTTGTTCTTATTAAGTATTTGCTCAGAGTTCTTTAAAGACTTCCAAAGATGGTCAACATGGGACTCTATTCCTTCTCTGTGACTATACCTTATCATTTTTTTACAACAAAAACAGCAGCAGCTGATAGGGTGGCCAGCTTTTTGTGGGGGACCCCATGTATAGTGTTGTTAGGTCTTGTTGGCGGGTACAGGGGTGGTCTGGTTTCTCCAGAGAAGGATCCCCAAGTTTTGTGGGTTGAGGCTGGCCGGCCCTTGTGCTGGCAAGGGGGCTCTTGGTGGCGTGCAGGAGAGCCCTTAACTTGTGTGTCGGGTCTTCACTTCCACGGGCCTCCTGTTCCCCTGCTCGGGGTCTATCCACCAGCTCCTGCCTTGGCGATGGGGGGCGTGGTCATCCCACTGTTGCACTGATGGGCCACTTAGCCGCTGGCACAAGCAGCCCCAGGTCTCCCTGCTCTACTGGGTCCAGGGGCAATTCCTGATCGGGTCCCAGGGTCTTGTGATGGGGGGCTGAGGTGAGCTCCACTCCCTCCAGTCTTCCAGGGGCTCAGGGGTGTCCGTGTTATCCCTCTGCCGTCCACATCCTGTCTCAGCTGGGGGTCCAGGGAAGAGCAGGCGGGTGCTGTGTGACTTCTCTCCTGCATACCTGGAATGGTGCTGATTATCACCACCCTCTTCGGAGGACTGAGAAGGTGGTGTGGTCAGAGGAGGAACCGGGTTGACAAAGACTATGGGTCTGTGCTCTCTGAGGCCCCCAGTGCTCCCCTGGGCGCTCTGTGTCCAGTGTGTAGGCAGGAGAGTGGCTGAGCACCCGGCCTGAAAGTGGAGGAATCAGTCACTCCACCCACATTCCGCCCACCAGCACACAGCCACGCCCACCAGGCTGCAAGGGGCTCTGGGCAGTGCTGTGCGGCCGTGTGCTGGGGAAGGGAAGGACACAGTGCTGGTGGGTGATGACCCCTTTCCCACGGGTCCTGGAGGGGCTGAGATGGCTGTGCCCAGGGATGGATGGCCCTTTGAGAGGCTCTCCAGCCCAGGGCTCAGGGCACGCTGGGGACCTCCCTACACCTGCTCAGTGGCTGTCACAGTGGGGAGCCAGGTTCCGCCCCAGCGCCCCAACAGAGTCCTGTCCTGCAGGAGTCACACGCGCTATGGGCAAGCAGAACAGCAAGCTGCGGCCTGAGGTGCTGCAGGACCTGCGGGAGAACACGGAGTTCACGGACCACGAGCTGCAGGAGTGGTACAAGGGCTTCCTCAAGGACTGCCCCACCGGCCACCTGACCGTGGACGAGTTCAAGAAGATCTACGCCAACTTCTTCCCCTATGGCGACGCCTCCAAGTTCGCGGAGCACGTCTTCCGCACCTTCGACACCAATGGCGACGGCACCATCGACTTCCGGGAGTTCATCATCGCGCTGAGCGTCACCTCGCGGGGCAGGCTGGAGCAGAAGCTCAAGTGGGCCTTTAGCATGTACGACCTGGACGGCAACGGCTACATCAGCCGCGGGGAGATGCTGGAGATCGTGCAGGTAGGGCTGAGGGGGGCGGGGCGAGGGGCGGGGCTTCCGGGCTGCGTCCTCTTCACCAGGTTCCTGTCTGCCCCTGCCCCGCCCCCCCGCCCCGCCCCTTCCGGGCCAGCAGTGAGAACAGGAGTCCCTAGCTAGCTCTCAGGTCTGACTTAAATACTATCGATTATCGATTATCGGCTTTGGTCTTCATAATCCCGCAGGGGGGTCGCTGTTGGCATTTCACAAACTGAGGCTCACAGAGGCGGTGTCCTAAGAATTAACAGCTGAGAGCTCCAGTAACAGCAGGGACTCTGGACACTTGCAGAGGCCCCTGCCCAGGCCCTTGTGAAGCCCCAGGTCTGAGAGAGCCACAGAGAGCTTGCCCTGGCCCCAGGCACGTGCAGTGGGACACACAGGAAACGCGGACACGTGAGTGGTCTCAGCGCAAGCTCAGGCCCCTGTGGGAGACCTCTCCCTTGGCCTTCACGCCTGTCCTCAGCTCTGGCGGGTGAGCAGTTTTCTAGAAGGAAACCGAGTTCCGTTGCCTAGGTGCGTGACAGCCGGGGGAGAACCTCAGAGCTCTGCTCCCTGGCGTCCCCTCTGCGCCCCTGCCTCGGCCTGGAGCCCCAGGGTTCTCTACCCGTAAGGGGCCCCAGGGCTGAATCTGACCAAAGATGTCAGACCCGTGGGCTCCCAGGCCAGCAGTAAGTGGCCCGAGGAGCAACCAGCCCAGTTCCCGGGGAGGCTTTCCCACGGTGAGACTGAAGCATGCCAGTTAGGGGAACTCTGTGGTCGGTGTCACTCCCAGTGGCCGTGGCGTTGGTGGAAGTCGGAATTCCCCTTCCCGGGAGTCATTTCTCCGAGGCCACGTGCCAGCCTTACCCTTCTGCAAACGCACCAGCCTGGCCCTGCCTCCTCCCGTTGACGTAGCCAAACCTTAGAGAGCCTGGTAGACTGTTGGAGACAGTGAGGGGCGGCCACCCCTGTGCAAAGGGAGTCTGGCTGCTGCACCCCCAGACCAAGTGCCCAAACCCTGAGAGTCTTCCCCTGGCACCTGTGGGTGGCTCCTCACCTGCTGGCTGGGATGCCCAGCTGCCACACCTTTCTCTGTTTTACACACCTCAGCCCACAAGAGACCTCGGAGGGTCCTGGCTTTGCCCTGCCCTGGGGCAGGAGCAGCCTGGCCCCAGCAGGGTGTGCTGGCCCAAAAAGGGGCAGCCCTGTGCCCATGGCCCTGCAGTCCACACTGCCTGACCCTGAGGCTCCTGGGAGACAGCGGGGAGAGGAAAGGATAGTAGATTCTGGAAGCCTCCCTCGGGGTCATTCTGCTTGGTGCTTGCTTGTTTTTTAATGCCCTGCTTTTAAGACCCCCACAGGGCCCCACAGTGGCCCCACCCTCCTACTGGCTCTTATACTCACACACACACACACACACACACACACACACACACACACAGTGCATGGGGGGCGGGGTGGCAGTGCCCTTAGGGAGGCAGGTCAACATCCTGCTGAGGAACCCTGTGCTTGCCCTGCATGGGGTTCTCCCCGGGGGCTTCAGGGCCTGAGTCTTCCTTATCCTTGCGGGTCTCATGACCTCACAGCGATGCGCTCACAGCCCGGTGAACAGCGGTAGGTTGTATGGATACAGGCCTGTGGCCCTGCCATTCAGACAGTCACGGAGAGCTCCCAGCTTCCACCCACCTGCCTCAAAGGCTCTCCCTCAAGCGCCTTCCCTGCACCATCCCACCGCCACCGCCCCCATCCCCACCCCCAGGTAGCCTCCATCTCCTGACTGTTGCGGGGGACTCGTTTTACCTGCCCTTGAACTTCCCATAAAGGTGTCCAGCTTCCTTGGCCTCACATCCCATCATCAGTGTTTGCCCCAGGTGTTAGGAGCAGTGGGGGACATTCTGCTCTCTGGGGAAGGGTTCCGAGAGCCCATGAGCACCCTGACCTCCCCGTGCCTCCATGTGGGCTGGACAGAATCTCGCACCTGCCCTGTATACCCAGGAATGTTCCGGAAGTTCTGAGCACACACTTCCCCACGTCCCTTTGCAGGCCATTTACAAAATGGTGTCCTCCGTGATGAAGATGCCCGAGGACGAGTCCACCCCGGAGAAGCGGACGGACAAGATCTTCCGGCAGATGGACACCAACAATGATGGTAGGGCGCTGGGTCCCTGTGTGTCTTTGTGGCTTTGCAGGGGTACAGATGCGTTCGAGACGGGGCCTCCCTGTCTGCAGCCTTTTGGCCCCCCCACCCCACCCACCTGTCCACTGTGCCGAGGAAGGAGCCAGGGGTCAGGGTCAGGGAGCCTGGGGCTGCATCCTGGCTGTGTCCCCTGCATGGGGCCGCACCCCTGAGCCACGGGACCACAGCAGCCCTGTGGCCCTGGAGGAGGGGCGGTGCTTTCAGAAGCTCCACGCCCTGAGGGTTTGGGGAGAGGCAGCTACAGCTGAAGGAGAGAAACAAAGGCCAAGAGCCCTTCCTCATTGGTGCAGGGTCCCAGAACTTCTGTCCTGGGGAGGCTGTCCCCTCCCCTCCCACTCCACTCCTTAGCCAGGGCATTGTTGTTAAGTCCCCTAGGGGGCCAGCTTCCCTGCCCCCCGCTGCTGGGGGCCCACATGGGGGTGGACCCGCCACAGAGCTGGTGGTCCCTGCAGACTGGCTGTGTCTGTCCCCTGCTGCCCGTCTGGCTCCTGGCAGAAGCCCACTGACTGAGCTCGTCCTCCGCCGTGTGCTGGGCACAAGCCTTGGGCACCTGCTGTCCCCAGTGCATGTCACTCCTCCCGCCACAGCTGCAGAGCCTCAGCACTGGGAGCAGGCAGCTCCTCGGAGCACAAGCTGCAGTACAGGGACCGCTGGGGGTGGGGGGCACTCGCGTGTCCTAGCACGGCTCCCTCTGGAACTGCAGTTTCTGCAGCACCTTAGTTTTAAAACTAAGGGTCCGTGGGGCAGTCTCTCTAGTCCCCCCGCCCGCACCTGGGGGCAGATAGTGCAGAAGCAGAAGGTGACAGTCCCAGAGGGCCTGTGCTGCCACCAATGGGCCCGTGCTGCCACCAGGGTCCGCCCCCCGGGACCCTGGGCAGCCTTGGGCTCTGTCCGCCCTGGACTGGTTGTGGTTAGCGACTGAGGCCGTGGTCTTTCTGGGCAAGTCACCTCTTCCTTAGGTAAAGGGCAGTAGTTTCTGAACGAGTGTAAACTGCCTGCCCAGCACTGCCTGCTGTCATACTGGGCGTGTCTCTAAGTGGCCGGATGCTCTGCAGTGAGCCGTGAAAGCAAAAAGGGTCTTTCCAGAAAAGCCCACGGAGCAAGTGGTGCCGGCTGAGTGTCCTGCTTCAGGGAGGCTCCAGAGCAGAACCGGAGCAGGTGGCCCGACTGGGGGCTGCTCCCTGCTCTGGAAGGTGGAACGCAGTGAGCACCAGCTCATGTCCATGTCCCTTCCCCCCCCCCCAGGCAAACTGTCCCTGGAAGAGTTCATTAAAGGTGCCAAGAGCGACCCCTCCATCGTCCGGTTGCTGCAGTGCGACCCCAGCAGCGCAAGCCAGTTCTGAGGGGCCCAACATCTGGACGGTGACAGAGAAACACAGGCTCGTCCCACCGTTGAAGCTTCGCTTGCAAAAGTGGATGCCTCCTCAACCATTCCTGCTCTTCCGGGCCAGCCAGGTGACCCGTGGCACCTGCCCAGCCCAGTGGCTGCACCTCCCTCTGCCGCCTGGCCTCCCAGCCCCCCGCCCCGTCCCGTCCAGGGTGACTTCCAGGGATGTGTACCCGCAGGGCTCAGTGTTTGGGCCTCCAGGGCACCGCCTCGCCTGCAGGGGGCCCGGAGGACCCTGGTGGGACTTTCCAAGATGGCACCAAAGCCAGCTGATTTATTGTGTGACTGCTGGTGCCTCCATGTGTAAGGTGAGGACAGGAGCAGAGGGAGAGGAGATGGCAGGCCCTCCCCGTGCATGGCACCACCTGGCTCGTGCGTGTCCTCTGACCAAAGCCACCGCACGTCTGTGTACTGTGGTCTCCCTCCTTTGAACACATAAACCATGTGTATGGTGATGTGGCGTGTCATGTGTTGGTCCCGTATTTAATGCCTCGATCGCCTCTGAAGCGTGGTTCCCTTGTGGCCTGTGACCCCTCCAAGCCCGGTTCTCTTGTGGTATTTATGCCCTCAGTCTGCCCCTTTCAGAAGGAAGTGCATGCGTGCCTGTTGCCGTGGAGACGCTCAGGTCCACGTGGTGAATGCAGCGCCTGTGTGAGGTCCGTCCTGTTGATTGGTCTGGCATTTCCTGTATTAAAATGATCCAATAAACAGAATTCTCTGAGTGGTGTGTTGGCCCGTGCGAGCCCTGTTTTGCTGCCTGGGGCCCCTGTCGCTCCCGGTCAGAGGGGGTCCAGTGGGCGCAGCTGCCGTTTGTAATCTCAGCCCCTGCTGTCTCCCTGGAGTCATCACTGTGTCTGCAAATCTGGTGCAGCCTGTTCTGCAATATCTGCCTAATGCCAAGAACTGTTGGTGGCAGTAAAAGATGACTGTTTTTGGCAGGTTTGACTGCGATGCTCCTGCCTCCCTCCTGCTTCCCCCAACCCTGTGGTTTAATCAGCAAGGTAGCAGGACAGCATGTACCACCAGTGGGGACAGGGGGCACCAGGGGCGTCAGCTCCAACTCTGTGGGCAAACATCAACGTTCTTCCAGTCCCAGAAAACCCAGTGGAAGTTGCTTCAACCGTAGGGACGTTTGTCCAAAGCAGCCCATTGTTGGCCTGGCTGATTCTGCAGCTCGGAGACCCCCCCAGGTTCTGTCCAGCCCACCACCCCGCCCTCCAGGACTGTCCCTGTTCTGGGTAACACGGCTGACGTGGGAGCCTTCCCCAGACAGGATGAGAAGTGGCCCTGTCTTCTGTTTTTCCTTCAGGAGAACTTTCTAGAACTTCCCCTCCCCAGCAGTCTCACTTCTCATGGGCCAAAACCCAGACTAGGCCTGGCCAGGAGCAGGAGGTGACTGTGACTGGCCAGTCAAGATGCACCCTTGGCTGAGGACCACCCCCCACAGGGTGTGGCCCCGAGGAAGTGGGCAGGATGGGGTTCTGATTCCCAGAGGGGCACCGCCAGTGTCTGTCCCACCTGCCCTCGGCGTCCTCTGAGCCTCAGCTGCAGAAGAGGTGTGACCAGGAGACGGGGGAACGAGGTAAGGGGGCCGAAAGTGTAGCTCGGAGCCGGACTCACAGCAGGCTGTCCAAGATGGCTGCCGTCTTGCTCACTTTAGTATTACTGCTTTGTAAGACGTCGTGCCTCTGAATAGAAGCGACAAGCCCACCTGCAAGTGCCTCCTGAGCCGGGTGCGCCACCGGGAGCTGGTGGTCAGTGCGGTTCTGATGGCTGCTCACACCACGGCCTGACTTGCCAGCATGGGGTGGGCAGGAAGGCCGGGCGGCCTGGGCATGGGCCCAGTTTGCTACCAGGAGTCAAGAGGGCACCTTGGACAGCCCTGCCCAGAGGCGGGTATCCCCCCACCCCACCAGAGAGGGGCTTGAGTTTTATGGAATGGAACTGGCCTCGGTTGACCAGCCAGTGTTGGCAGGGGTGGGCGGTGCTGCCGCAGGGGATGTTGCTCAGCCGAGTTCTCCAGGGAAGCAGCCAGTGGTGTCCGTCTGCAGTGCGGGGTGTTGGAGACACCGCAGTGAAGCAGTGCTGTGAGCCCAGGCCTGCACAGACGGATGGCCAGGTGTTGATGGAGCGAGCATTCTGGAGCGTGGGCCTGGGGCGTGGCCACGCAGGGCACTGCCAGGGGCCTGGGTGGGGAGGGAGGACAGAGAGTGGGGCTCTGCTGTTTGTCACCTGCGAGCTCTTTCCCTGGCTTCTGGGACTGAGTGGGGGGCGGGAGGCCCTGGGGCCAAGACCTGAGGGGAGGCCATCTCCAAGGGCCTGCCAGGTCACCCGCCCTCCTGCACCCTAAAAGGGCTCACTGAACCCATCCTGGCCTTGGCCAGAGGAGCTGGGTGTGCCCACAGCTCATGCATACACTCCTTGCACATGCACATGCCCTCGCTGCCTGTCCCACACTCGGTCCCCAGCATGGCTGTCCTGCTGGCACTGGTTGACAGGGTACCAGGGCCTCCACGGTGCATGTGCTCCACCTGCAGGCGGCCAGGAAGCGGGGATGGGAAGGGAACTCTCACCAGCAGTAGCCAGGCCCCTCAGGGCTCCCGGTCCCCAGACATCAGGGGCGGGATCAGCACTAGTGAGATCATCTGACCCCCGTGCCCCCGCAGCACCCCTTTCGCTGGGGCCTGTGCATGTTGCACATCCGTGTGGTCGGGCGTGTGTCTGTGTGTCTGTGTTTGAGGAGGGACCGGCCGTGTAGTTGGTGGCTGAGTCTGCAGGCATGGCTCTGAGGGACTGGTCCATTGGAAGTGTCTGTCCTGTGTGGGGGTCACAGAGACACACATGCAGGCACATCCTGTGCAGGACTCGGTGCCGAGGGTCCAGAGCATCGGGCCCGGGTCTGTGTTGGCAGGTGGGTGGCTCCTGGGGACACCTGTGAGGCTGTGTTGAGCAGCAGCCCTGGAAGCTCATTCCAGTGGGTGGTGTGGGAATCCCAAGCTCATCTGCCCCAGCCCGAGGTCAGCCCCACTCTGCCCCAGCCCCGCTAGCTGACAGTGGCCTCCTTGAACTTCACCTTATCCATGTTCCAGGCCCTTCTTTCTTAAAAAATGATTACTTTACTGTTGAATTTAATAGAGGAACATTGGTTAATAACATTATATAGGCTTCCGGTGTACAATTCTGTAACCCTCACCTGTATATTGTATTGTGTTCACCACCCCAAGTCTCCTTCCATCACCATTTATTATTCCCCTTCACCCTCTCCTACCTCCTCCCACCCCCATTCATGTGCAAGTCGGTTCCTAAGGCCTCCCTGCAAACATCCCTTCCTCCGGAAGCTGTCCCCACTCCTCCCTGCACTCCCCACCTCCCTCACTTGGTGCTGCTCATGCTGACCTTGGCCCCAGAGCCAGTGCCAGGCTCGAATTAGGATGAGCTGCTCAGCAAGGAGTGAGTGAGCAGTGAGTGAGCCAGCCTGTGGCCCACCCACGCGCACTGCTGGGAAATGCACACCCGTGGGGGCTGGCACACAAGTCCTGGCTTGCCTACATGACCCTGGGTATGTGACAAGGCCCTCCCTGTCCCCCTAGTAAGACAGGACTCAGAGAGCCAGGGTCACTGACCTCGACCTTTCATGTCAGCTGGCAGAGGGCCATGAGTGTGCAAAGCCCCAGCCTGGGCCAGGGTCTGTCCGACTCTCTGGCTTAGAGCAAGTGCTGGGAGTGGCCTCAGCCCCTTTAGATGTGGGGCAGAGCTGGGGCTGGGACCAGGCACCCCTGTCTGACAGCCCTGGGGTGGGCAGAGCTCAGACCGAGCCACGAAGAGTTGGGGAGCAGGCAGCACTGGGGCTGGTGGGTAGGGACCAGGACCAGGACCTGGACCCCAGCTTCAGGGCTGGCACAGGGCCTGGGGGATGGGCGAGGGCAGCACCCTCTGCTTCCCTAGCCCTCACCTGCTGCACAGTCAGGGCGGGGCAGGCAGTGAGCAGAACCTGGGGCTGCAGGGCCCTGAGGGCACCTCTGCAGGTGACTGGTGTTGGCATTACCCACTCCTGACAGCAGGGGGCAGCAAGAAGACAGGCTGCAGAGACCTGCCTGCCGTTCACTGGCCCTAAGGCAGGAGGCCAGGGCTGAGCTGGGGTGGGTGTCCTCTGTGGTGGCTCGGAAAGGGTTTCACGGGAGCAGCCTGGTGTGGGAACAAGGCTGCAGGGAACCCCTTCCTCAAAGCCCAGGGTACCCTGGTGTGGCAGGCCCCGAGTCTCCCTGCGTCTGGCTGCATTCCTGTCCCAACAGCTCTCCTGCCCCAATGGGCTCTGTCAGCGTTTGCAGAGTGACTGAATGACCTGACAACTTGGTCAGGGCCCCACCACCACCTGCAGAGGAGCCTCAAGCACTTGATGCTGCTGCCCCCTAGTGGCCATGGCTGGAAGGGCCCTCCAGGGCTTGGATGTCTGGCTCAGGGCCTCCCTGTGCTGGTTTCTGAGCTGCTTGGGCCTGAATTACACAGCAGCTGTCTGACCCCTCCCACCTGACAGATGGGGAGACTGAGGCCCGCAGGAGCACCTAATTTTTCACCAGCCACCCAGGCTCCAGAGCCAGAGGTTGGGTCCCTGGTACCCTGGACCTGGAGGCCTTATCAATAGGACTCCCATTAAAACGGAATTTCAGATTAACAGCAAGCAATCTTTCCATATGCATGTGTCTCGTGCAGTGTTTTGTGTCTGATTGGCTGTATCTGGCAGCCCTACCTCTCAAGCCGTGGAGCTGAGCCTGCACAGCCCTGGGGCACGGGACACGGGTCACTGACCTGGTGGAGCCACCCCTCGTGCCCAGAGACCCAAAGACCTTGCACCACAGTCCAGCTCCAGTGTCCGGAGCTCGGCCCGCTCGGGGGCCCCCAGATGCCCTGCTCAGCCCTCGCCACCAGGACCACAGCTGAAGGCTAGCAAGGTAGGACTCGGGTGCCACCTTGGCAACCCCTATGGCCAGTGTCACAGACTGTCCCGTCATGACCTGGCCTCACTGCATCCCTGAAAATGTCCCCAGGAAACTCACATGGAACCAGAGGGGAGCTAGTGTCGATGGGGTGGCTCAGCAGTGGGCCCACTAGGGGGATTCGGGAGGGCCCCCCATACCATCTGCCCCCTGCTCACTGGCAGCCACGCAGCACCCGAGCTTCCCCCACTACAAACGGCCACAGTTCCTGGTCCCCAAGTGAGCAGTGAGTGAAAGTTCTAAGTCAAGGAGCTAAGATCACCAGGGCCATCATAGCCCAGGAATGGGAGTCCCCAGCCCCTGCCCCCCAGCCCTGGAGCAGCAGCAGGGTCCACCGGCCACCACAGGCCACAGGGCTGGTGTGTGGGGCTGGGGACAGAGGCACATCCCCGTGTGAGCCTGTCTGCAGCCCGGACCCACTCCCTCCAGCAGTCAGCACAGGGCAGCAGCCGCATCTCTGAACTGAAAGCCGAGAAGCAGGTTTGCCAAAAAAGTAAGAAAACTTTTCATCTGTGAGTTGGATTTGAGATGTCCTAAAGAAGGTTGAGGATCATATTCATGAATCAGCTTTATCACAAATATAAAACTATGAAATCAGACCTGTGTCCACTGCTCACTCCCCTGTGACCCTTGCTGTGACTGGTCTCAGGGGTGGGGCCCATACAGCCCCCCCTTTCAGGTGCTGCGAGGGGCAGGCAGACAGACAGGTGGACAGGAAC